CACCTGCTTCCTTTCCCAGGCCTCCCTCCCCAGCAAACCTTTCCTCATCTCTGTAGGTGCTTCCCAGGGAACCTGACCTGTGGCATTTCATGAACAGGCACTTCCAGATTACAAAGAACCACACACACACGGACACGCACACCCCTGTGAGTGCCTGAGGGTAGGGGCTGAGCCTTACCTTTATGTAAAGCTCAGTACTGAACATAGATCAGATGCTCAAGAATTCCCCAATGAGTGACTGAATGGGATGGAGATTCCCAAGGTGACTGAACACCTGGTGGGAGGCTGGTGCCTGGATATGCTGACCTTGCTAAATGTTCCCAAATTGGGGTCCCCAGGGCATCCTTGAAGGCATTGACAGAAGTGATAGAGTTGTTTCCAAGATTTAGTCTCATGGGATGTGTGCTTTTAGCTGAGAATAGGCCACTCAGGTGAACTAAGAGGTGAGATCTTATGCTTTTTGTGGGAATTATGTGAAGGCAGTGCACTCCCATGGAGCTATCTGGGGTGAGGAAAAGTTCCATCTGGCATGTACCTATTAAAATGATTTTCACTGGGCATCATGGAGGCAGTGGAGAGGAATGGGAAGGTCAATGGCTTTTGACTCCACTGCCAGGTGTCACTAGGCAAATTAGCCTACATCTCCAAGTCTCAGTTTCCCTGTCTGTAAAGTAGGATCTAGGAGTGTCCTCTGATGGAGCTGTAAAGGCAATAATGTAAAGAACCTAGTATAGTGCCTAGCCCTGAGTGATTGGCAGCTACTGTTAGTATCAGTTCACATTTTTAGTTCGCACAATAAAACATTTTGACCCATGGAGTATAAGTGCCTTCAGCCCAGCTTGGCAGGGATTGGCTGAACTGCCCCAAATGGACCAGGTCCAGTCAGACACTGTTAATTTTGAGAATAAGAGGGAGTTTCAGCTCTGAGGGCACAGTAAATGGGCATGAAGCTGACCAAATTCATCTAGATTGTGGGACAGGGTGGAAGAGTAGGATGTGCAGAGAATCCTCAAGCTCCCAGCTTGGTGGGTGGTGGAAGGGAAGTGGAAGGACTATTTGTACTTGCGGAATTAGGGTTTGGCCCATGTTCCAGGGATGTTCATGTATATCAGCTGGAAAGATCAATACATGCAAGTGATCTGATACCAGGATCCACCAGGGAGATGCACAGACTGGCCTTTCTGTGGGTGCCCAAAGAGCATTTAAGAAAGAAGACTGGTGGGTTATGTCTGTAATCATAGCACTTTGGTAGGCTGAAGCAAGCAGGTCACCTGAGGTCTGGAGTTCGAGTCTAGCCTGACCAACATGATGAAACCCTGTCTATACTAAAAATACAAAATTAGCAAGACAGAGTGGCACACACCTGTAATCCCAGCTACTTGGGAGGCTGAGGCAGGAGAACTGCTTGAACCTGGGAGGTGGAGGTTGCAGTGAGCTAAGATCATGCCATTTCACTCCAGCCTGGGCTACAAGACGCAGCCCCATCTCCACAAAAGACTGTCTCCTACACTCCTGTGAGTCAGGGAGCTGCATATGAAGCCTTTACACAGGCCGTCTGGTCTCTTGGGAAATACACAGGTATGCTTCAGGTAAGAAGACTGGGAGAAAGCATGCCAAAGTGCCCACCAATAATTTATTCACTGAGGGAGTGGAATAATAAGCATTTAAAATTTTCTGCTTTACATTGTTGTTTGTTCTGTTTGTTTTCTGCAAACTTGTTTCCATGGCTTGATTTTTTTTTTTTTTTTTTTTTTTTTTGAGACAGAGTCTCACTCTGTCACCAGACCACCAGACGCCAGGCTGGAGTGCAGTGGCGGGACCTCAGCTCACTGCAACCTCCTCCTCCCAGGTTCAAGCAATTCTCCTGCCTCAGCCTCCCAAGTGGCTGGGACTACAGGCACACCCAGCTAATTTTTTTGTATTTTTAGTAGAGACGGGGTTTCACCATTTTGGCCAGAATGGTCTTGATCTCTTGACCTCATGATCCGCCCACCTTGGCCTTCCAAAGTGCTAGGATTACAGGTGTGAGCCACCGCACCCGGCGCATGGATTGATCTTATAGGTGGAGAGAGGGTGAAGTGGGCCAAGTCAACAAAAATGAAGACGGATAAGGGAAAAAAAAAAAAAAAAAAAAAAAGACTGCGTTATTCTCTGAGCCCAGTTGACTTGGAGATGAGGTTCTAGACTCTGCACTTTGGTGTAATGAGCAATCACTGCCAGCTTGTGTTTTCTAGTAAACAAGAAAGAGTTGCTGCAAAATTTCTCTCCAGATGGGGGCGGGGATGGCCTGGGAAACCTGAATGAGTATCTCCTATGCTTATTTATTTTCCTCTTCCCTTCTGCACAAGGAAGGAAAAATGGAGGTGAGACTCCCATTTCCTGACAGGGCAGCTCTCAGTGGAGTTGGAGGCTCAGAGAGAGCCCATGGGATAGGTCTCTGCTGTCTTACCCCAGGCCCAGCTTCTCACTGTGGGGAGCAAGGGTCTGGACACAGGGCCTTCGGATGATATGGTAAATTTTGCGTTTGGCACTCTCATCTCTCTTTTCTGAGCTCTCATCCTACTTTCATGCAAACCTCCTTGTTCACCATTTAATTTAATGCTAAATGGGGGAGAAGCCTGTCCCCCAGGAAGTTTAATGTTCCTCCTGGCCCCAAGCCTTACATGTTCCCAGCTTGTCTCTTTCTCATCTCCAACCTCCCTTCCTACTTTTACATTTCCCTCACTACCCTGTTCTTTACTTGTCTTGTTGTCAAGCATGCTGGCCACTAATTCACACTACAGTGTAAAGGGCCACCACTCCATAGTAACATTCACAAACAGGGTACTTAGACAAGTAGTTTTGGTAATGGAAGTCAGTGAGAGGAGCCATGATATGGTTTGATTCTGTGTCCCCACTCAAATCTCATCTTGAATTGTAATCCCCATAATTCTCACGTGTCAAGAGTGAGACCTGGTGGGAGGTGATTGGGTCATGGGGGCAGTGTCCCCCATGCTGTTCTTGTGATAGTGAGTGAGTTCTCACAAGATCTGATAGTTTTATATGTTTGACAGTTCCTCCTACTTTCTCTCTCTCTGTCTCTCTCTCTTGCCTGCCACCATGTAAGATTGTGCCTGCTGCCCTTACTGCCATGACTGTAAGTTTCCTGAGACCTCCCCAGCCATGTGGAACTGTGAGTCAATTAAACCTTTTTTCTCTATAAATCACCCAGTCTCGGCCGGGCGCAGTGGCTCAAGCCTGTAATCCCAGCACTTTGGGAGGCCGAGGCGGGTGGATCACAAGGTCAAGAGATCGAGACCATCCCGGTCAACATGGTGAAACCCCGTCTCTACTAAAAATACAAAAAATTAGCTGGGCATGGTGGTGCGTGCCTGTAATCCCAGCTACTCAGGAGGCTGAGGCAGGAGAATTGCCTGAACCCAGGAGGCGAAGGTTGCGCTGAGCCGAGATCGCGCCATTGCACTCCAGCCTGGGTAACAAGAGTGAAACTCTGTCTCACCAAAAAAAAAAAAAAAAAAAAATCACCCAGTCTCAGGCAGTTCTTTATAGCAGTGTTAAAATGGACTAATACAATCTAGAACCCAGTGCTAGAAGCAGAAGTTCTGTCTTGAGTCTTATGTTGCCTCTAAATCATTGGCTGACCTTGAACAAGTCATATCGCCTTTCTGGGTTTCAATTTCCTCATGAGTAGATGTATAGAAGTTATATTTTTAAGTTTTTTAAACCAGGTCACAAGATTCTGTCCCCATGATGTCATCTGATTCTCATACGAATCCTGTGGTTACATGGGCAGGAAGCCCTATTATTCTATTTGTCTTTCAAAGCTGGGCTCTAATAAGCCTCTCTCCTGTAAACCATTTCTTGACTCTCCCCACAAGTTAATCATTCTATCCTGGGGGTGGCCACTGAAGCTGGCAATAACTCTTGTGGTTCTGCTCAACCCCCCAATTTGGATCCAAGGCTGTGACCTGTGGGTGCCCAGGACCCAGCACAAATAGGGCCTCGATGGCTATTGTAGGAAATGTTGAAGGACACCAACCCATATTTACAGAGCAGACTGCCATACAGACTCTGTCCTCCTCCGTGTTAGCCTGTCTTCCACCGTGTTAGCTAGCCCACCCTGCTGGCCTTGAAACTCAGTAGGTAGGTGTGTCTTGATCATGGTGTTTAACAATAGTATTGAGAAGGAAAAATCAAAGGGTGGAGCCCTGGGCACCCTCAGTAGAGGCTGTTGCCCTCAGGACATCTGCCCTAACACACAGATTTTTTTTTTTTTAAGACAGAGTTTCACTCTTGTTACCCAGGCTGGAGTGCAATGGTGCAATCTACACTCACCACAGCCTCCGCCTCCTGGGTTCAGGCAATTCTCCTGCCTCAGCCTCCTGAGTAGCTGGGATTACAGGCACGCGCCACCATGCCCAGCTAATGTTTTGTATTTTTAGTAGAGACGGGGTTTCATCTTGTTGACCAGGATGGTCTCGATCTCTTGACCTTGTGATCCACCCGCCTCGGCCTCCCAAAGTGCTGGGATTACAGGCTTGAGCCACCACGCCTGGCCACACAGATGGTTTAAACACAGAACTTTCAAATTACCTGCTCTGCCTGGGGCTGAATGTCATCATCTTAAGTGCCTGTCCCAGGGATGACACCCAATGGGTGCTCCTCTGATGCCAAATGCTAGTTACCTGTCCTCTTTCCCTACCAGGTGAACCAGGCAAAGGGGAGAGCCTAAGTGGGTTTTATCTTTTTTTTTGACAGACTCTCACTCTGTTGCCCAGGCTGGAGTGCAGTGGTGTGATCTTGGCTGACTGCCACCTCCCCCTTCTGAGTTCAAATGATTCTTCTGCCTCAGCCTCCTGAGTAGCTGGGACTATAGGCACATGCCACCACTATTTTTATATTTTTAGTGGAGATGGGATTTCACCATGTTGGCCAGGCTGGTCTCAAACTCCTGACCTCAAGTGATCCACCCACCTCGGCCTCCCAAAGTGCTCAGTTTACAGGTGTGAGCCACTGGACCGGCCTAAGTGGGTTTCTAATATGCACTCTCTATGGCTAAGCAGAGGGTCCCAACACCACCCATTTCCCCAGCACCTGTAGCATTTTGTAACTTATCCAGAGGGCTTGTTTCTTGTGCCCAGAGTTCAGGTGGCCTTCTCCTTCGGAGAACTTGCGAGGGTGGAGGGTGTGGCAGCAGCTGGGTCACTGGCAGTGAGTGTGGTGAGGGAGAACAAGGGTCTGGAGCTGGCAGTTCTGACTCCACCACATGCTGGCTGTGCCAGCTGGGCATATCTCTGCCCCTCTCAGGGTTCCAGTGCCTTCCTCCTGAAAGATGGGGATAATAACAGTATCTACCTCATTGGGTTCATAAGAGGACTAGGTGATAAAATATTTGTAAAGTGCCAGACAGAGTAACCTAGAATCATAGTTTTGATGATTACCTTGAAACACTGTTGCCATCAGCAATAGGAAACACTGTTCCATCGGCAGTAAGAGACACTGATCCATCAGCCATAGGAGACACTGTTGCCATCGGCAGTAGGAAACACTGGTCTGTCAGCAGTAAGAGACACTGTTCCATTGGCAATAGGGAAGACTGATTCGTCGGCAGTAGAAGACACTGTTGCCATCAGCAGTAGGAAACACCGTTCCATCGGCAGTAAGAGACACTGTTTCATCAGCAGTAGGAGACACTGATCCTTTGGCAGTAGGAGACACTGTTGCCATCAGCAGAAGGAGATGCTGTTGCCAACCCCAATCGGAGACACTGTTGCCATCCATAGTAGGAAACACTGTCGCCATCCATGGTAGGAAACACTGTTGCCATCCGTGGTAGCAAACGCTGTTGACATCAGCAGTAGGAAACGCTGTTGACATCAGCAGTAGGAAACAGTGTTCCATCCAAGCAGTACGAAACAGTGTTCCATTGGCAGTAGGGAACACCGTTCCATCGGCAATAGGGAACACTGATCTGTCGGCAGTAGGAGACACTCTTGCCATTGGCAGCAGGAGACACTGTTGCCATCCCTCGGAGGAGACACTGTTGCCATCCACAATAGGAGACACTGTTCCATCGGCATTAGGAAACTGTTGCCATCTGCGGTAGGAAACACTATTGCCATCTGCGGTAGGAAACACTGTTGACATCAGCAGTAGGAAACAGTGTTCCATCGGCAGTAGGGAACACTGTTCCATCGGCAATAGGGAACACTGATCTGTCAGCAGCAGGAGACGCTGTTGCCATCCCCAGTAGGAGACACTGTTCCATCAGCAGTAGGAAACACCATTGCCATCTGTGGTAGGAAACACTGTTGCCATCCACGGTAGGAAACACTGTTGCCATCTGCAGTAGGAGACAGCGTTGCCATGCGCGGTAGAAGACACTGTTGGCATCTGCAATAGGAGACACTGTTGTCATCCACGGTAGGAAACACTGTTCCATTGTCAGTAGGAGACACCATTGCCATCCACGGTAGGAGACACCGTTGCCATCCACAATAGGAGACACCATTGCCATCCCCAATCGGAGACACTGTTGCCATCCATAGTAGGAGACACCGTTGCCATCCACAGTAGGAGACACTGTTACCATCCACAATAGGAGACACCGTTCCATTGGCTGTAGGAGACACTGTTGCAATCCGTGCTAGGAGACACTGTTGGCATCCACAGTAGGAAACACTGTTGCCATCTGCGTTAGGAAACACTGTTTCATCAGCAGTAGGAAACACTGATGCCATCCACTGTAGGAGACACTGTTGCATCCATAGTAGGAGACACTGTTCCATTGGCAGTAGGAGACACTGCTGCCATCCATTGTAGGAAACACTGCTCCATTGGCTGTAGGAGATACTGTTGCCTTGGCAGTAGGAAACACTGTTTTTGCCATCCACAGTAGGAAAAACCGGGCAGGACCCCTCCTGAGCAGTCCATGCCAGGACTACAGGCTACAGTGACCCCAGGAGTTGCCTTGGCAGGAGAATAATACCCAGGCAGCCCTGCCCTAGCCACTGGCTGGGGCTGGAATGTTCCGAGTTCTTGCATAATAACCAGGATGGGGATCCAGGTAGTTCAGTGTTTGCAAAGCACAGCTTTCCCTGGGCCACAGAAGCTATCAGCCCTTGTGGTGATGAAATGTGCCCACCCTCCTCGTGGTGATGAAATGTGCCCACCCTCTTCGTGGTGATGAAATGTGCCCACCCTCCTCGTGGTGATGAAATGTGCCCACCCTGGGTGGAGCAGGTCAGCCACTGTCATGGCTGCCCCGCCCACCTCACCCCACTGGAGTAGCACAGAACAGTACGTCTTGCTCTGGGTTTCAGTCTGGCCCAGAGCCCAGGGTCTAGGTACAAGGGTGGAGGGTCAGGCAGAGGAAGTGAGGCAGCAGACCCTGGCATGAGCATTGGCTCTGCTGCTGGCAAGCAGGGTGGCCTTGCCAGACCCTTCCCCTCAAAAGAGTTTGTTTTCAAGGGATTTCTAAGCCCCCTTTAGCTTAGCTCTCACACTCCTAGGGAAAGGCAGCCAGGTGGGTGTCTCACAGCATTTCCTGGCCCCCAAAGTTTGGGTTCTGGCTTTACTTCTTCCTACCTTCATTCAGGTTTCCCTAAGGACTGGGCGCATTCTGTTGCAGGCAGCACCTGTTCTTGAGGCTTTGGGGTCCAGGTGAGAAGAAAACACAAAAGCCCCCACATACCCCAAGTCAGTCAGGTGACAGCAAGTACCCAGAAGAGCTGAGACAGAGGGTGTGAGGACAGCTCTGAGGAGGACAGCAGGGACTGCCAGAGAGCAGGATGCGGCACACAGGAGGGAAGGGAGGTGTTCCAGGTGGGAGCCTTCAAGAGCCCAAACCGGACGTGGTTGAGTCAGGAAGGGCAGGAGTCAGAGGCCTGGACAGCAAATCGCTGGCCCTGAGATCACCCCAGGATTTCACCTCTGTGCACTGGCTCCTGCCTGGATCTAGGGCCAGCCCTGCTGCGGGGGGCTCCCTGGGGACTGGGTGTCCCCTGGCCCAGACCCACCCCATTGCCTCTGTCAGTGCAGGAGCTGCCTGTGACCGGCCAAGAGCGGAAATCTCTGGGGACAAGGCTGTGTGACTGCCAAGGCTGTGGCAGTAGCTGCCTCTCACTCATCACTCCCTTTCGGTTTCATTCCAGGTTCACTTCAGGAGCCGTGATTTTCCTATGGCTGAGTCACCCAGGGAAGGGCAGTAAAGAAGGGTGATTAACAGTGTTTTAGTTCCTGGGATTTCCCATCTCGGTTCATACGAATTCAGAGCAAAGCCATAGAAGTACAGGTAGTGAGGGAGGAAAGAGACTTTGCAGGGACCTAAGGAGACCGCTCCCCTCAGACTGGGGCTCCCTGAGGATGAGGCTGCATCTCCCCTCAGACTGGGGCTCCCTGAGGATGGGGCTGTGTCTCCCTCATACTGGGGCTCCCTGAGGATGGGGATGTGTCTTCCTTCTATCCCTTCTATCGGGGCTTCCTGAGGAGTGTGCACAGCTCTCTTTCTTGTGTACCAGGTCCACTACAGCCACTGGGTGCCTCAGCAGAGGTCCTATTGGGTACACCGATTAGAGCACAGCAGACCGCCTGGGTCCCCCTGCTGGGGTTTCTCCTCACATGGGAAAGATGATGACACAGGAAGTCCTTCATTTCTCCCCTGTGCTTGCTCTTCGTTCTTTCTCCTTTCCAGCGGACCACACAGGGCTGCAGTCCTTTCCTGCATCTCTCTGCCCCTCCCACTACACATTCGCCCACAGAGCCCTTTGGTCAGTGTTCTCACCCAGAGCCACCCTAGTACTCATCGACCAGGGATCAAAGGTGACAGAACTGGGCCCTGCAAGCAAAACCAGAGCCCAAGTCAACTGTGGAAGGAGGGGCTTCTCTCCCATCTCCCCTCCGCTGCCGGCTGACTAAAGTCCAGGTGGACTCACCTCGGCTGCATCCTGGGTGGGAGTTGCGGGCCAGAGAGAACTGACTTGCGCTGCCACGGCGGGATAGGTGAGGGGATCGACCTGCTGGGAGCCGAGGCCAGCTCCAGGAGAGGTCACCTTCCACCAGTGAGAGACACTACCAGCACTTCCACCACCTCTCAGTGCTGTGGGTGACTGGGAGCTGCTCGTCGAGGTGACATCTGTGTGGCCTGGGGGCCCCTTCTACACCGTGCTGTTCCCAGCAGCAGCAGGTCCTGCTGCGGAACATTTCTTGGGACTGTGGGTGTTAACGAAGCCTGTGATCCTCCTCAAACTTTTCCACCAGAGAGACACCCAAAGGAGCCAGACCACATTCCCCTGAGGGCTTGTGTCAGGGGGTGGGCTTGGCTCAAAACAGCCAACTCAGAGCACCAGTGGGATTGCAAGTCTTCTGTTTATTGAAAATTCACACGTGCATCTTGCATTCGATTTCATCATACTGTTGAATGTGAAAATAATCTTCTTCTCACATTCTTTGAGCCAAATTGCTGCTCTAGGAAGGTGGGGCCCATTTATCCCATGGCTTTGCTGCCCTGGGCACAATGGTGCTGGTGGTGGGTGCCCAAAGCAGGTGGCACAGGGGCCCAGGTAGCCTCAGATTGGGTCCCAGCGCAGACACATCTCCCCACTCAGGGGTGTAAGAAGCCTCCCTATCCTTCCTAACCTCGCTTTTCCCGGTGATTCCTGTGGAAGGCAGAGTGGGTCACCTGTTCACACAGGGTATGCTCTCCTGGCTGCAGGGTGCCCTGAGGCCCCTCCTCCCCACGGCCCTCCCAAGCCTGCTGGGCCTCTACTCCTACATCGCTGGCTGAGAAACCCCTTTGTCAGAGGCTACTGAGCTCTGCTCCCGGGGAGAGAACAGACAGGAATCCTGTTCACGGATGAAGACCCTAGTGAAGCCATGGACAGTTGGGGGTGCATGTCTCATCCCATCCCAGGAGGTCTCGTCCCATCATGGCCCACCTTTGCAGGCACATGGTGGGGTGTGATGGCTCCTGGCAGTGGCTGTGGCTGCCTGGTCAGAATCCAGGTAAACCCTGAGAAGGAGGTGCTATGAGCACCTGAGGGAAGCTTCCCTTTCCCTCCCCAATTCCCAATATGTCAACAAGACGCAATATTTCTGCTTCTCAAACGCTTCTTAAATCCATTTCATTTTATTCAAAGTAGGCTTTATACAAATCTTATTTTCTTGCTTAAAACCCTTCGTTCCAAGACTTCATACTAGACTCCTTAAATAAGGTTCAACTGGTTTGCCAATCTTGCCCTCCTCATCTCTCAGCTGTGTCTCCACAGACTTCTTTTCTTTCTCTAGCCACTTTGCACATGCTGTGCCCTCCCTGCATGGAGCACTTAGCATCCGCCCCGACGTCCCACTCCCCGTCACTGCCCTACCTGTCTCTTCCACATCCAACTGATTTCTCCTTCCTCCTCCCTTCCCGGCTTCCCAATTCCTCAGGCCAGCATGGCTCTCAGAGCACTTTTCCACCTGGCTGGTGATACTTGTTAGATGTTAACTGAGGTCCTTATTTCCTCAGGAGGACCATGACAAAGCAGAAAGCAGAAAAGTCACTGGCCATTGTGTCCCGAATCCTAAGCCCTTAGCGGAAATGAAAGGTTTAAGTCATTTAAAAAAAAGGGGGAGACATTTAAAAAAAAAAGTAAAGTGGACCATTCCCTACTCCTGTGGTAACTTGTATTTTCCAAATATGACCATGGCTACAGTTTCTCTTCCACATGCTCTTCCAGAACCTTTCCAATCAAGAGTTGGATATTTCCTCATCCTGTTGAAACTGGGTGGGATTTTGAGACTGCTAGGTGGACAGAATGTGGTGCAAGCCTAGTCTTCCCAGGGTAGGTCGTTGCAGCAGTTCAGCTTCTCTGTTTTTCTCTCCATACTCATCGTTGAAAATCAGCCGCCATGTTGTCAGGAAGCCAAGGCTACATGAGGAAGCCAAGGCTACATGGGGAGGCCACGTGTACATGTGCTGAGTTTTCAGCCAACAGCCAGGTATGTGAGTGAGTGAATCTTCAGATAATCTTGCCCGAGTCTTCCAGCTTCCCCAGCTGATGCCCAGCAGAGCAGAAGTGTCCTCACTGAGCCCTGCCTGAATTGTGAATTTTTTTGGTCACATATCCACAGTAACTGCTCCCCATCTCTTCCTTGACTTGATACATACTTTTCCCAGGCTAGAAGAAAGGACAGGCAGAAAAAAGATGATGGAAGAAAAGGAGTAGGCAGCTTTGACAACAGATATATTCTCCTTCTACCTCATCTGAGGCAGCATTTGAAATAATGATGGCATTATTTGGAAAT